CTGTCAAATTATTGTGGTGACGACAACACAACAACAACTTGCACTTATATAGTGCCCTCCACAAAGGGTAGTGTCTCAGAGCGCTTAACAGTGGTGGAGCCTGACAGTGTTCAAACTTTAATAAGTCCCTTTTAGGAGTATGATGCAAAAGGGTGTGTCACAGTAATTTTATGAAACATATGCGATTTTCTTAGCATGCTTATGGGATGCGTAGGAACCTATGTTGCGATAATCATTACTTATACTAAACTGGGGCAGTGAGACTGAACAGGAACAGTTTGATAAGAGTAGCATAAAAAGGCTGTTCACGCTTTGTTGGGGAGTTCATAACCAGGGACACAGGTATAAGAGAGCAACTAAGGGTATCTAAAAAAAGAATTTGAATGGAACTACTTCACGCAGAGGGTAGTCAGATTGTGGAATTCGCTGCCCAAAACGGTGGTTGAAGCAAATAATGTTGATGCACTTAAGAGGAAGCTAGACCTTCACATGAGGAAGAGGGGAATAGAAAGGTGTGGGAGGGAGTAAGGAGTAGGTGGAGACTCATGTGGAGTATAAACACTGGCATGGACTAATTGTTTCTGTGACTATGTAAATACAGTTTGTGGTTGTTGTGAACACAGGCATCAGGAAGACATTGCCCTTTGACAATTTGGGGCCTAGAGAATTTGGGGGTGGAATAAGGACTTGTCTAAGGGGACAACCCTCATTCCCTTGAGGAACGTGTTTTGGTCTAATAATAATGATCCTTGCATTTGATATAGAGCCTCATCACGTCTTCGAGACGCCTCAAAGCCCTTCACAGAATATACAGTAAAGTGAATAAAATGTATATTTTACTGTTCTAATTTGTTTAATGAGGGTGACTGGGGCCTAACCTTAAAAAAAAGTGGCTTCTGGTAATAATTCTGGTCATATGTACCAATCAGTACAATACTGCAATGATTGTTGGTTGCCAATTCCATTCTTGCAATGTATGGTTCCTATTATTTCTGAATCAGGCTGATGATGCAGCTTTGTGCAAAATTATAGGGCACATAATGACTTGCCATTGAAATGATCCCTGGGGTTTTTACCCAGTTGTAGCTTTTGGATTATTGTTGAGTCACTGTCCAAAACTACGCATCTCATTCACTGTATAATTTTACTTGTAAGAGCAGCTTTCGCATTTACCCACTGCGGCGGCTTTCACATGATTCACTAAGATACTATAGTAGCACGGATTATTATCTCTTGCTTTATGCACCGCACTGTTAAATTTAGACAGATGATCAGGTTAGATTTAAACAGTCTAAGCAGTTTAGTCACCCAGTTTATGAGGATCAACTAAATCACTTGGATTCTCGAAAAACACAATTATGAAAATCAAGTGGGAAGTATGGTGTGACTTGTGTGTCTGTATCCTGTGTGCGCAATTGATCTCCTCGATTAAAACTTCCTTCCTTTCCTGCTCCTTTCTCCTCCCCTCCCCCAACCTGGAATAACCAGGAACTGAGGCAGTGGTTAAAAATAGACTGATTGTGTTTGAGTTTCCCAACCGATATCAGCCTATAGGTTCCCAGTAGGAAATCACAATGAAATCCCTGTGATCAGTAAAATAATATAGAAAGGGGGAGAGGCAAAAAAATTGTAAAAAGAATAGTGTCTGATTTATGGAAATCGTTTGTGCAAGTTGCTCTGGGGCAAGTAAACAGCCGGAATAATGACAATAACCTCTCTTCTAATTCCTTAAAAAAGGCCCTTTAATTCCTACTCTGACAATTGATGCAGAGGAAGGAAGGAAGGGAGCCCTTCAGCATCCCTCTCGACTCTCTACCCCCTCCTCGCTCCCTCCCTTCCCTCCCCTCACCCTGACCATTTCCTCCCTGCTTAGGCCCCGACCCAACTGGGACGTCCTCCCGACATGAAAGGCGCTCTATAAATGCAATCTTGTTGTTGTTGTTGAGTTGTTGGTTGGGTGTGTAAGTATGTTTTATTGCAATCTGGTGTCGCCGTTAACAATTTGCTATTTGCAGGAATATATATACTATACTTTTTTGATCCACTAGTTGCTATTTTATACTTGTGTGCTCTGGTTCTTGGGGCGGTAATTTTCATAATGCATTATTTATTTGTTGATACCTCTAACAAGTGACAAGGCAATATGATGAAATGATCACTTAGTGATTTCACCAAATCTCTGACTCCTGATTTCAGTGATTTCATGAAATCCCAAAGCATTTTAGAAATGTTATGAAGTGTCTGAGTGAAATTGTAATTTCACAAAAGCACTGAAAATTTCAGGGATTTCACAACATTTCATAATTTGGCTGTAACATATATACATAATGCACTACACAGAAGTCCTGTAGCTCAGTGGTTAGAGCACTCGCCTCACAAGCGAGAGACCTGGGTTTGATTCCCGGCAGGACGAAACCTTGGGCAAGCTTCCTTACTCCACACGCCTCTGTTTACCTCGCAGTTAAGTAGAAACCCGGTTGTCAGTCGATTCGATTCGCGGATCGCTTTTTCGGGGTAACACTTCCTTCCCCCAAAAAAATTGGTCACTCAATCCACGACTGTTTGCGGGACACTGCTGTGCGCGATTGGCTGCCGCGTTTTACCCACAAAGTATAAGGTCGATTCGCTTTACGCTTTGAGAGGTCCTGAAGACGTGATAAGGTGCTAAATCAAATGCGAGGATTATTATTACATCGTTATATACTGCATATACGTTACATACATTATATACACACGCGCGCACACACATATATATATATATATTGCACAATGCAGGAATCCGAGAGCGAAGCAGCTGAGTACCAGCTCCCCTGGTCCTGTTCTGTGTGGTGACAGCCTGTATTGTGTTGGCTGTGTGTGTGTGTGTGGCTGCTGCTGGTTTGCTTCTCTTTGGTCTGATTGTGCAGACAGACAGTCAGACAGTCAGCACAGACACAGGGGGAGGAGAGAGACACAGAGAGCCATGCAGTGAAGCAGGCTGGTGTGAGCAGTGCAAGCCCCGAGCAGGCACCGTCTGCCCACCCCCACCCACCCCCACCCACCCCTCACCCCCTCCTTGCTGAGCAGATCAGGATAGTCCCACACTCCCCTCCCCCCCCCCCCCCCCCCACAGCCTGACTCTCCCCTCTCAATCCCTTTTCAGCACCACGTATAAAGCTTTGTGCAAAGATGGCGGGAGCAGAGAGAGACGGGACTGTGAGTAACCCGGTGCCGGGTTGGGGTTGGGGGGTTGGGGGGGTTTGGGGGGTTGGGGAGGGGGAGGCGGAGGTTGCAATGTACATAGCCATTTCTGTCCGCTTTAACCCCCAGTGCTGCGCTGCGCTGCGCTGCGCGCGGAGGAGGTGTCCCGGTAACTGCTGTCAATCACAGCAGCCGCTGCAGTGCAAAGCTCTCCCCTCACTCACTGTCACTCTCTCTCTCTCTCCCCTCACTCACTGTCACTCTCACTCTCTCTCTCTCTCACCAGCTCTCCCCTCACTCACTGTCACTCTCACTCTCTCTCCCCTCACTCACTGTCACTGTCACTCTCACTCTCTCTCTCTCTCACCAGCTCTCCTCTCACTCACTGTCACTCTCACTCTCTCTCTCACCAGCTCTCCCCTCACTCACTGTCACTCTCTCTCTCACCAGCTCTCCCCTCACTCACTGTCACTCTCACTCTCTCTCTCTCTCTCACCAGCTCTCCCCTCACTCATTGTCACTCTCACTCTCACTCTCTCTCCCACCAGCTCTCCCCTCACTCACTGTCACTCTCACTCTCTCTCTCTCACCAGCTCTCCCCTCACTCACTGTCACTCTCACTCTCTCTCTCACCAGCTCTCCCCTCACTCACTGTCACTCTCACTCTCTCTCTCTCTCACCAGCTCTCCCCTCACTCACTGTCACTCTCACTCTCTCTCTCTCTCACCAGCTCTCCCCTCACTCACTGTCACTCTCACTCTCTCTCTCTCTCACCAGCTCTCCCCTCACTCACTGTCACTCTCACTCTCTCTCTCTCTCACCAGCTCTCCCCTCACTCACTGTCACTCTCACTCTCTCTCTCTCTCACCAGCTCTCCCCTCACTCACTGTCACTCTCACTCTCTCTCTCTCTCACCAGCTCTCCCCTCACTCACTGTCACTCTCACTCTCTCTCTCTCTCACCAGCTCTCCCCTCACTCACTGTCACTCTCACTCTCTCTCTCTCTCACCAGCTCTCCCCTCACTCACTGTCACTCTCACTCTCACTCTCTCTCTCACCAGCTCTCCCCTCACTCACTGTCACTCTCACTCTCTCTCTCTCTCACCAGCTCTCCCCTCACTCACTGTCACTCTCACTCTCTCTCTCTCTCACCAGCTCTCCCCTCACTCACTGTCACTCTCACTCTCTCTCTCACCAGCTCTCCCCTCACTCACTGTCACTCTCACTCTCTCTCTCTCTCACCAGCTCTCCCCTCACTCACTGTCACTCTCTCTCTCACCAGCTCTCCCCTCACTCACTGTCACTCTCACTCTCTCCCACCAGCTCTCCCCTCACTCACTCTCACTCTCACTCTCTCTCTCACCAGCTCTCCCCTCACTCACTGTCACTCTCTCACCAGCTCTCCTCTCACTCACTGTCACTCTCACTCTCTCACCAGCTCTCCCATCACTCACTCTCACTCTCTCTCTCACCAGCTCTCCCCTCACTCACTCTCACTCTCTCTCTCACCAGCTCTCCTCTCATTCACTCTCTCTCTCTCACCAGCTCTCCTCTCATTCACTCTCTCACTCTCTCTCTCTCACCAGCTCTCCTCATTCACTCTCTCACTCTCTCTCACCAGCTCTCCTCTCATTCACTCTCTCACTCTCTCTCTCTCACCAGCTCTCCTCTCATTCACTCGCTCACTCTCTCTCACCAGCTCTCCTCTCACTCACTCTCACTCTCTCTCTCACCAGCTCTCCTCTCATTCACTCTCTCTCTCTCACCAGCTCTCCTCTCATTCACTCTCATTCACTCTCTCTCTCCCTCTCACCAGCTCTCCTCTCATTCACTCTCTCACTCTGTGCTGTAACATGCGCTCCTCCTGATCAGCGAGGGGGCTCCCAGGCCAGCAATGATCTGGATGCTTTTTTAAAGGGAAAGACTGCAGTCAGTCTGTTACAGTCTGTTGCAGAGTGAGTGACCCCTATTTTTTGTGTGTGTCTTTCAATGAGGTGCAGGAGATTGTATTCCAAGACGATTTCTCTTACAATCTTTGCCAACGTTTTTTTTTGGTGTGTGTGTATGTATGCATGTATGCATGTATGTATGTATGTATGTATGTATGTATGTATGTATGTATGTGTGTGTGTGTGTGTGTGTGTGTGTGTTGCTGATATTTGCAGTCAGATCTAATTCGTGTGTGTCTTTCATGAAGTGCAGGAGATTGTATTCCAAGAAGATGTTTTTCAAGAAAAAAAGCAGCAGCCTGATCTCAAACATTGAATGAAATAAGGCAGGGGAAATATTACAGAAATAAGGAAATAATGCAACCCTTTCTCTCTCATTAACACACCTATTATCACTTACCCTCCCCACAATCTGACATTTGACGTAGAATCGTATGGGTGAATGACAATTATTGTAGTGTATCGAAGTCGTGTTGCAATGCAAGGATGAATCGAATATGTTTAAAGAGATTATTCATTGTGTGAGTGAGACGATACTGTTGATTTCCCATTTAATCTCTTGTTTCAGATGTTGGAAACAGGACACCTGAATGACTCCCTGGGCTCACCAGGCCAGAAAGACATATCTCACCTGGTAAAAAAAAAATCCCAATATTTTTTCTCTCCCTCCCCCCACCCCCCATTTAAATAACTTGTTCAAAAAGACTATAGCTCGTCTTAAAAAAAAATCCTTCTTGTGCAATTACTGAATGATACTTTGCAACGCTTCTGTGCTGTGCAGTGAGACTTACAAGGACAAATCCCTTACTTTCTTAAAGAATGTTCCTTTTTGTGGTACTATAAAAGGAGGAATGAGACCTGGAAAGAAGATCGTGGTAATGGGTATAGTGGATCCCAATCCAGAAAGGTAATCAATGGGTCATTAAATGTTTTTTTTCTCTCTCTCTCTGCCTCTTACTTAGTTACTTAGACCTTGAATCGAGAAATGCAAATTGTACAATACGGTAATTTCTCATTTTAAATTTCTCATTCAAAATCTGCAATGTTGCCTTCTGGAGGCCAGATGACAAGCCAGAGATTTTGCAACGAATAAACTGCAGGTCCCCCCAAGCTTTCTGAACGCTTGCTGTGTTTCCAGCCTGATTTTTTTTTTGCTGTGGGTTTCATTCAGCCACACACAGCAAGTCTCTGTATGTACCAGCCAACCTCTTATGTGTGTATGTGTGTGTGTGTGGAGGCTGATCTCTAACAGAAAAGGCAATACTGTGACTTCAAGAAGGAATGCAATTTAAAAAAAGGGCGAATTATATGCAGAAATTACAGCAAAATTACCTTCAATTCTGTTGGAGAATAATCAATTCTATTGCTGTACAGAATTGAAGTGAGAAACGCGTCCCGGTGAATGAGTTTACCACTTGAACCTTTAAGAGCGTTGCTAAAGTGTTCCTAACAACCTTGTTAGGGTAGCACTCGAGAGAGAGAGAGCGAGAGAGAGAGAGATGAATCTCTTGTGGGTCTAATTCCCCTGTTACAATAGTTGGCTTTGTGTTCAGGGTGATCCCAGCTGTGTTCATTTGATACTCATTTGTTAGTAACAAGGGTTTACTTTGCTTTGCAAGGGATGAGCATTATCAGGTGATAGGAACATCTCTCTCTCACTCTCTGTATGTGGGATAAGGGTTGTTTTTTTGAATGAACTTGCTAAGTGCTTTTCCTCTCCCTCCTTCCTTCCCTCTGAAATCTCTGCCTTAGCTTTGAAATCAGTCTGTGCTGTGGAGATACAGATGTGCCCCCGGCTGATGTGGCCTTAGACTTACAAGCCAGGTTTCCCGACCGCCAGTTCATGAGAAACGCCTTCGTGTCTGGAGAATGGGGAGAAGAGGAAACACCCATTCCTTACTTTCCCTTCATCCCAGACCAACCATTCCGGGTGAGTGAGTGATTGCTTTCATGGAGGGAGATGGAATGAATGTATGGAATAATATTTTCTGCCATGTTTACAAAATTGTGGAATTGAGAGGAACTGTGTCGGAAATGTTGTGGGGTAGTGGTTAGCGCACTCGCCTCACAAGCCAGAGGACCCAGGTTTGATTCCTGGGCAGGGCCACACCTTGGGCAACGCCACTCCACACACCTCTGTTTATCTAGCAGTAATTAGTAACTGGGTAGTCAATTGGCTCATCGCTTTCTGGGGGTAATAATACCTCAAAAAAAAAATTTGGTCACTCAATCCACAAAACTTATAGTCAATTCACTTTACAGTATAATTCTGTGACGCGCTTTGAGATGTTCCAATGACATGATAAGGTGTTGTATCAAATTCAAGAATTATTATTTATTTGATTTAAAGTGCAACTTATTTTTGAAGTAATAATAATAATTCATGCATTTGGTATAGCACCTTATGTTGGAAGGACATCTCAAAGCGCTTAATATATGATAATAATAAAATACTGTGAAGTGGATTGACTGTGTATTTGTAACGCAACAGCACAAATGCGCACAGCAATGTCCCTCAAACAGCCAATAAGTGTATGACCAATTTTTTTTATTTGAGGGATTGTTGGTCGGAACACCAGGAGAGAGAAACTTCCCTTTTTCGATTAGCGCCACAGGATCTTTAACATCCACTTGAACAGGCAGATGGGATTAATACAACTCCAAAGGTAGATTTGAGATCACAATAATAAATAATAAAGCTAGTGGAATGACGGGAGTAGCTTTATTACTGTAATCTTAATTTACTCCTAAAACAAACGTGGTTTTCGTTTGTTAACCGATAATTCTCACTCTGGTGCATCTCCAGTGTTGATAATTTTGTTCAGCAAGTTGGAAGCCAAGTGCCGTAGTTAGTGATAACTGTGGTTCCATTGTTTGATTGGACTTGAGTTCACAGTTACAACTGCATGGAATAGCTGAGCGAAATTATTTCAGCAACTGGTTGCAATGCACAAAGGAATAAAAAGATTATTGGAAATGTTTACCCTTTATGTGTGGTGGGTAATATGCAGATGTGCTAACAGCTAAGAATGTCAGCTTCTTCATGCCTTAGCAAAAAATAAGCCCACCTGCCCTTTCTCAAAAAAAAGTTATCCCTGCATTTGATATAGCTCCTTATTGCGTCGTTGAGACGACTCATAGCGCTTCACAGGATATATTGCAAAGTGCTTTGACTGTATATATTGTGGGTGAAACGTATCAGCAGTTGCGTATAGCAGTGTCCCACAAACAGGTATGGAGTGAGTGACCAAATTTATTTGGGGGATTCTTGGCCAGGACACCGGGAGAAACTGTGTTTGAATAGTGCCAAGGGACCTTTAACGTCCATCTGAACAGGCAGACGGGACCTTGTCTCACCTCCAACAATGCAAACACCATCAGGCCTGCTTAGACTTTGTGATTCCAAGTCCCGACATGGGGCTTCAACCCACAACCTTTTGACTCAGAAGCAAGAGCGCTACCACTGCACCAAACTGACACACTTGAAGCACTTTAAGCACTTGAAACAGAAAAGTACTCCTGCACCTTTCTTCACCTTTAAAAACAATGGCTGACCCAGGGAGCCTGGAATGTACCAAGTGATCGCCAAGCAATCTAATCGTTAAAATTCTTTGCAACATAGATCCAAGGTTAAGTGAAATCCCTGATGGAATTTATTCGCAAGTCGTTTTTCTTCTTACTAGGAAAAGTGTTTTATGAGGATACTGCAGCTTTATCTGTAAGAAATATTTCACAAGCGACCCAGCCTCCCACGTAATGGACAAGTTTCTCACAATAATGTAATCAGTCAACAACACAAAGACATGTAGTCACAGTATTGTCATATAATTCTCGTGGATGGTTTTAACAGTTTTTTTTTAAACATATAAAGTGTTGAGGAAAATTCTCACTCTTAGGAATTTCCCCAGCAGCAATTTCAAAATCCCCAACCAGTAAATTGCCCTTCCATAATAATAATAAAGTTAATGACAATATTGTCGGCAGTAGACAAGTGGTCATCGTTTAGGCAGTGTTTACAGAATTTTAGGCATATTTTACAGAATAATATTTGATAATTAAAGACATTGTATGATTATTACTTAGTAGATTCCAGCTTTCATATCATTTCAATCAGCCTAAGGTTAGAAACAAATGTTGAAATCTGTTTTTAATGCTTTTGGATGTGGGATAAAAATGGCCCTTTCAGTGCTAATTCCTTGAAAAATGCCCTGAGTTGTTAGCTGATTTATTTGTCATGGTGAAATGTGACTGTTTGTGAAATTGAAAATATTTACAGCATCTGCAGTTTCACTAAGATGCACAAGTTACCCTTGTTTCATTTTTGTAGAGTGTGAAAACCCCAGTTGAGTCAGAGCATATTGTTTCATTATGTTATACCTGAGGTTGTGAGAGCCCAATTTATCTTCATTTAAATCTCAGTCAAGGAGATGCAACTTCTGTGCGCAACCGGCTGCTGCGTTTTGCCAACAAAACGTACAGTCAATCCACTTTACAGTATATGCTGTGAAGTGCTTTGGGACGTCTTATCGCTGTGATAAGGCTCTATATCAAATGTAAGGATTATTATTATCATCTTTGCTGACCAGGAGCCAAATTCCACTATAGTGAGGTGAAAGCTGCCTCACATCATACTGGAAGTACCTTTAAGCTCATAGGATGTCACCTCTGTTTTTCTCTTGGACCCTTCTGTCCTTTCCTCCTCCTCTCCTGGTCACATATTATTTTGACTCCTGTTTTTCCACTAAGGCTATGGTACTGTGGCCGCCTACATCGGTTAGCCAACCAGAGCAACCATTGAGTTATGTGAAAGCCTTGGCATCCCCGAATCCTTCTGCCTCCCGCACCTCCTTCAAGGCCTATAACAAGACCTTCCTCTTCAGCCTTCGGCCACACTCCCCCACCTACCTTCCACCCCTCTTGATTCCAACCCCCAGTTCAGGTGCAAACCCTTAACTGTCCCATGCCTTGGGACGTCCTTCTGACGTGAAAGGTACTATATAAATGTAATTGATTGTTGTTGGCAGTGACGAAGAACGACAGTGCTAATTGACTAGAGGGAGATGGGGCAGCTATCACAGCCAAGCCCGATTCTTTCCTCACCTGATGTTCACATACCCATACTGCCTAGGTATCAATTGGGAGCACGAACCCTTAGTCGTTGCACCCTTTCTAACCAAGAGTACTGAGGTCAATTATAACACCTTAACTGCCCTGCCTGAGATCTGTTAACTCAGCACAGATGGGGATTCAAACCTGCAAATCCTCATGGTCTTTTGCTGCACCAAATTGTGCCTTTACCTTTATCCACCAGGCTATGACTGGGTGATGTCGCTCAATGCTTTTTTCAATCCCATAGAATCCTGCAGCACAGAAGGAAGCCATTTGGCCCATCAAGCTTGTGCTGGCCCTTTGAAAGAGCTATCCAAATAGTTCCATTTGCACTCTTTCCCCACAGCCTTGCAAAACATTTTCTTTTCAAGTAAATATTGAGTTGTTATTGAATCCGCTTTCATCACCTTTTCAGTAAGTGCATTCCAGATCATAACAACTCACTGCGTTTATATAAAAAAAATTCTCCTCGTCTCCCCTCTGGTTCTTTTGCCAATTATCTTAAATCTGTGTCCGCTGGTTACCGACCAGTGGAAACAGTTTCTCCCTGTTCACTCTATCAAAACCTCTCATAATTTTGAACACCTCTGTTAAGTACCCCCTTAACCTTCTCTGCTGTATGGAAAACAATCCCAGCTTCTCTAGAGTTTCCTTATAGAATAATAATAATCCTTGCATTTGATATAGCGCCATATCACATCTTCGAGACGTCTCAAAGCGCTTTATAGAATATACTGTAAAGTGATTTGACTATATTTTGTGGGCAAAATGTGGCAGCCAATTGCGCACAGCAATGTCTCACAAACAGTTGTGGATTGAGTGACCAATTTTTTTTGAAAGAATTATAACCTCCGGAAAAGTGATCTGCCAATTGACTAACATCCGGGTTCCTACTTACTGCTAGGTAAACAGAGGCGTGTGGAGAAAGGAAACTTGCTCAACATTTTGCCCTGCCGGTAATTGAACCCATGTCTCTCGCTTGCGAGGCAAGTGTTCTAACTACTGTGCTACAGGACTCCATATCCTTGCAAATTTTTCCTTGTAGTAAAGTGCTCCAGGGATCCAGAATGTTGCAGAAGTGAATTACTCATTAAATTATTGCAAGTTAATGGAGATTATTAAAAACTTAAAAAACCTCATTAGTGTCGAGGGATGTATTCTATGGCTCAGTGCCTGTCAGCGATGGTACTCCACAATGAAAGCCATGTCCCACTTCAAAATCTACTTGCTGCTGAAATCTGAATCAAGAAACACGCACTGAATATATATTGAGGATTCTATTATTATTTGCAAATGAAGTGGTGAAATGAGATTGGCAAACGTGTGAGATACAACTCCCATATGACTGAGACCTGCCTGGAATTTATACATTCAAGCAGCAGCATAATCTGTGCTGTGTTAAAAGCAGCTGTGCATTCTGGTTACCTGGCAAAAATAACTGCCGACTGAGTTGAACCCATAAGCAGGGGCATGGGGTGAAGGCAAGGGGGGATGTCACATCAACAACAAAGCTCTCAAGGCACTATTCATAAAGAGAAAGGAGTTTCACTAGAAAATAGATTGCAGCAATTCCTTCCTGCTTTAAACGGAAAGCTGCAGGGATCGATTTGATCTAAGAAGTAACAATCAATCAATTTAAAATTAATCCTTAAAGACATTTTGTGTTCTTAATAAATCTATCAAGTGAATTTGATGTCCTGTAGACAACAAATTCACACATTTGCAGAGCAACTGTGTCCCTTTTAGCACTTCTGCAATAGTTTTTATTCCCCCAAAGATCTAAGAGTGCGTTAGCACAGAAGGACAGATACATCCTAGTGCTACAGCGTCATAGGCCCAGATGCTGAGCATTGGAGAAATAATGGTGATTTCTAGTAGCGTTTTTTGTGGATTTTCTTTCCAAGCTTTTGGTGGGGAAATTGATTTTTTGCAATAAATTTTGCTTTTTGCTCATTGTGATGAGTATTGAAATGTATGCAATTGTAAAAACAAAACACACACACAATGGCTTGTGATTTTTTTTTCAAGGGGGGAGAGCAATAGGCAGAACAGGTAAATGTTAAAGATATCGCAGTACTATTCCCAAAGACAAAGGGGTTTCACTGGGTGTCCTAGCCATAACCCCATTACCGCCCACACACCCCCCCCCCCCCAGGTAAAATTAGCCACTTGGTTCATGGCTATTTGCAGAATGTTGCTGTGCACCAATTGGCTGCCACGTTCACTCACAAAATACACAGCCACTTAATTTTATGGTAAAATCCTGTGAAGCTCTTTGAGACGTCTTGATGACATGATAGGGTGCTATATCAAATGCAAGGATTATTATCGTTGTGTGAGAGGGAAGGATTCAATGAGACTGACCAGACTGTAATGATAGACTGCATGTTTGTTTCTTTCTACATTCCTGTTTGGAAAAGGCATGTCTGGCAATGGAAATAATAAATAATACTACGGGAAATAAATGCATGTCTGGTTTGGAAAAGGAATGTCTGAATTGGCAGATCCCAGGTGTTGAGGGTGACAGTAGACACACAGCTGTTCCTGAGAGACGGAGATCAGCCAGGATACCTGCTTATAATTGTTTTAGTGACCCCCAAAAAGCTTCACCAGTCACCAAGTCAGTGAAAGCAATGCTGATGTCGCACCAGTCACAAAACAAAATGTGGTCACTCAACCCACGACTGTTTGCGGGACACTGCTGTGTGCAGTTAGCTACCGCATTTCACCCACAGAATATACACAGTCAATTCACTTTACAAAATATTCTGTGAAGCGCTTTGAGATGTCATAATTATTATCATTGTTTATTATTGTTATCTATCGAGAGCAGAAAGGTAGCGATGGAATTCTCCAGCTCGGCTGAGTTAGGATCATCTCAAACAGGGGAGTGGTAGTGGTTGGAAAGAGTATTACTCATTCAAAACCCTCAAATAAATAAATAATAATTTGGTCACTCAATCCACGACTGTTTGTGGGACACAGCTGTGTACAATTGGCTGCCGCTTTTCGCCACAAAACATACAGTCAATTCACTTTACGTTATATTCTGTGAAGTGCTTTGACATCGTTATATCAAATGCGAGGATTATTATTATTATTATCCAACAACAAAACCTTTTTTGTGTTCTCTTTGGCAGCTTGAAATTCATTGTGAACACCAACGATTCCGCATCTTCATCGACGGGCACCAGCTCTTTGATTTTTATCACCGCGTCCCAAACCTGCCAGCCGTCCACGTGATAAAAATCATTGGCGACCTGCAGCTGACCAAACTGGGTTAAAGTGCTGGCGCGACCATTGGTGGGGGCCGGCGGGGAGAAACTGTGGCCCCCTTCTACTTTAGGTCAGAGATTCGCCATCACGCATGCGTTGGCAGTGCCAGCTGGGCCTGCACTGCCTCAGTCTCAATCTCTATTGTCTGTTGTGTTAAAAGGAAGAATTGAACCGTTGTTTGACATTTGACGATGTAATTGATCGGGGGAGGGGCAGCCATTTTTGTGGGGAAATATTCAGAGTGGGGGTTGGGGAGGAGGGGGAAAAGCTTGCGACGACAAGTGAAATCCGGTTAGCGGTGCTCTTAGAACAAGAAGGAAGATTCGTACATACCACCACCTAGCAGCTATAATGTGTGGGGAATACCCATTGCAGACTGGTGTAAGCGAAGGTGAGAGAGGGGAGGGAATTCACTACATCATTTGCACCATGCACTTCAGTATGTGTTTCTGCACTGAAATGACTGACAGCACAAGTAATTTATAAAATATAGTTACAAAATATAGAGGAAAAATAAACACAGAAAAGAGACAGAACTAGTCTGGATAGCAGTTTGTAAATTTTTCCCACACTGTAACATGGATGACATGTTTTTACTTTGTGACACTACATAGTAATTTATATCCAGCCATCGTGTCTTTTAGTCGAATGAATTATTAACCAACAACCATGCAGAATGTTAATCAATGGATGTACCAGATGTTTTAGTCTGTTTCTCAAAATTAAAAGTATATTTCTTGAAACTTAGGTTATTAATGATTTTATAGATTTGAAGCAATCGAATTGTAGGTGTTATAATGATTTTATGAAAGCACCGCTTTTTTTAAAAGAAGTAACAATATAATAGTCCATGATGCCCCATGTGTTGTAATATAATTCTTACTAAGATTCCTTGGAAAAACATTGCAATTTATGCTTGAATGTACTAAGTAAACATGTGGTTTAGAGCTTTTGCTATTAGAGTATTGAATTTGGCGATATTATAACTAACAATCCTTTGTGAGATAAAATATGTGCCAAATATAAAAGAAAAATTGATTCTTCAATTCAACTAAAATATCTGTTACCTTAATGGACACTCTTCGCAATACCATTTAATGCTGAAAACTGGCACAAAAGATTCCGAATCTCACTTCCATCTCATGCTGTTAAATCGTCTTTCTCAGAACACAGAAGAGGTGAAATAAAACAGCTTATTTGAAGAACTGATAGATCCATAAACCAGAGACTTTGGTGATATATTTTATGAGAAAGATTTTTAGATCAGGGTATTGCATTGTATTATAGATATTTTGCTGAAAGACAGTTAAATTCATGCCCATAACATTCAGGATACTATATTTACATGGCAGTGAATGGGAACAGATATTTAATAATAATTAGAATAATCCTTGCATTTGATATAGCGCCTTATCACATCTTTGAGACATCTTAAAGTGCTTCATAGAATATGTTGTAACGTGGATTCACTGTGTATTTTGTGGGCGAAACTATTATCCACTTTTTCTCTGCTTGATTTATTTATCAAATTGAGCAAAGATCCACAAACCCTTCGCCACAGTGTGTTTGCACAAAGATTTGAGACTGTGTTTGTATAAATTTTGCTACCAGCAGTCGTTTGTAGAATTCTGTTTGACGTTGACAAAACTGAGAAAAATGCCCCCTGTAGGAAACATCATCACATATCATGATGTGCTTGTGGAAGCTTTGGCAATGTATGACGCCAAGTTTGCAAATGTACATACAGTAAAACCTCACATAAGTTGTATCAGTTGGAACCATACACTTTATATGACTTATGCAGAGTATGAGTTATGCCAAACTTGCAGAGAAAATAAATTCTTGAACGGGACTTGGGTAGATGTACAACTTAGGTGATTATACGATTTATACAGATCTGACTTATGCGAATTTTATTGTATTCAATTCTACAACATTTTGCTTCCAACATACTAATATTTGCTTGGCAATTTGCCTGCAGGATCCTTTCACCAATTGACAGATTCATTGTTGTCTGGAGATATTATGTAAACCTTCTGAACGTTGTTTGTTCATCGAGCAAGTTGTCTTTCAAAATATGCTGTTATTAATGCTGTGCATCGTTTTCTTACAAAGAATAATCCATGGAAGGATTTTAAAAAATGTATATTTGTAATATTTTCCCATCTTTTCTTCCTTCCCCTCACATTAGTTCCTACTGCAGCCGTGGTCAGCCGTGTTCCCCCTTGGTCGAGAGAAAGCGTAGCCTCTTCAGAGATTATAGATACTCTAGTCAGTCCCCCAGGAAACACTTATGTGAGTCCTCAAAAAAAAGACCTGTATGCTGTGTGGAGCTTTTGACACTCTGATGCAATAAGAGAGCTCTCCCTGACCAGTTTCCCACAGAGAATACCAAGAGTGTGTTCTTACATTGCAGCAACCTGTCTACTCCCAGAATATATTTGTTTAATATATTGAAGGCTGAAAGTATCATTTTTAACGTTTATATGTCTTTCATTAAAGGTTTTTTCTAAATTGATATTGTTTTTCAAACATATGTTGAATATAACTGAATGCACCACCTGCTGTGTTTCCCTTTCAGTTCTGAACAAAACAGTCCTGGTGACAGTGTTACATCATTCCTCTCATATGTTAGTGCACCAGAGTGGTGTATAAGTCACATCTCTGTTTGGGTTAAGCAATAACAGTTAGATGGGTACGGCCATCGGGTCTTGGACATGAATGAAACTCTCTGTATCTCAGTCTCCCCACTGAGGTGGTTGCTGAGTGACAGTCGGGCACTTTCCCACAGTGAATCCTGCCATTTTAGTGGCAGGATTCACAGTGGGATTGACGGAGATCCTTGACACAGCACATGGCTTAATTTCACAGCCATAGATGGAGATTGAACAGCACATATAACACTTTTATCTTTGTGGGAGATGAAAACACCAAGGACTAAATTACATATTGCATTTCCTCTTTGGAAATCAGTATTTTTTTTTACATTTAAATGCAAATTTAAGCTATTAATCCTTCTTTTCTCTGTGTCCCTCCCCACCATGCTCATGCATATAGACATACATACAGGCAATTACAGCTGCACAGTTAATTCCAATAATCTGAGGGACAGTAGCACAGTATTAATACAGCATTTCAAGTTCCACTGCCATTGTGTTCCGAATCAATCACATCCAACAATAAGAGTGCTCCAGAATACTGAAGAGACAAATAAAGACCGTCACCATTTGAAGGTCATGTACCTTTATTCTGAGAAGCAAAGTCATTTGTTTTATATGCTGTTAATGCATTAATATTCTGATGCCTTCTTTTCCTCAGTGTGAAATCAATAGTAGAGAGGATAAGATCATAATTAGTATTCTCCGATGCCCTCCTTGCTGGCCTCCCCAGCTCTACTATTCACATATTCACAGAGGTAAGAGTTTGCTCACCACTCTTCTATGTAATCTCTTACATCGCAAAGGTTCATTGTCTTCAAAAAATCCTTTTGGAGAGAACCCAATTCATGTCCCAATCCAATCCCTAGTGAGGTCTAAAGCCTACATTTGGTGGATGTCAACTAGAGGTGATCCTCCTGGAGGGGAGGTAAACGGGGTCTGTTTGGGGATTAACTGACTCCAACATGACATGTTTGGCATTGGAATGTTGGAATCAAGGTGACTCTATGTGGTTGTCTTTGTAGTCCGTTTCTGAGCCCATACTCAAAACGTTGCTGATGGCAGACCAGTTTGATTCATCGGTAACACTTGGAGAGCAGACTGGTGGCAGACATTCTATCTCTTTGGTTCCTATTAACCCGACAAGCAATGGGAAGCGTGCCACACTCAGCATGGTGCTGAGTTTCTGCATGTCTCAGATGCCCTCTGGCCAAAAGACATGTCCTAAAATATTAAGATGGATTAATAATGGGAAAGAAAGGGAGTGGGAAGGAACATTCACAACTTTGCTAGTATTATTAATATTATGGGTTACTATAACATAATAACCCGATTACCCCAGTCCTTGCCAGACTGCATTGGCTGCCTATCCCAGAGAGGATCGATTTCAAGATCCTCACCCTTGTATTCAAGTCCCTGCACTCCTCTGCAACCCCCTACCTCTCTGATCTCTCTCCTCAAAACAGTACCCGTTGCCTTTGTTCCTCCGGGTCTGGCCTCCTCCTCGTCCCCCGAGTCCTCCGCTCCACCCTCGGTGGCCGTGCCTTCAGCCACTATCCCCCAAGGCTCTGGAACTGCCTTCCTCACTCCCATCGTCTCGCTTCCTTCCCATTTTCAGGTCTCTGCTGAAGATCTTTCTCTTCGACCGCGCCTTTGGTCACCTTCTCCCCCTCCCCCTGGCTCGGTCCCGGGATCTGTTATTGTGAAGCACTCTGAGACACCGTCTGGCGTGGAGGGCGCTATATAAATCTGAGTTGTTGTTGAGTAGTTTTTCTAACGATCTTTCATGGAAGAGATATTAGAAATGGCAGTTTCTCCTGGTGTCCAGGCCATCAATCTCCCAAATAAAATTGGTCACTGACTCCATGGCTGTTTGTGGGACATTGCTGTGCCAATTAGCTGCCGAGTTTGCTCACAAAACACACAGTCACTCAACTTTACAATATATTCTGTGAAGAGCTTTGGGACGTCCTCCTCATCTAAAGGACGCTGTATCAAATGTAAAGATGATTATTAGATTCTCTAAAGTGCCAGCTCCTCAAAAGAAATTACATTGAAAATGATTAAATGGTTTGTTGCAGCCAACATTTGAGAAACTATCAGTGTCCAAACACATCAACCATTCATGTAAAAATCATAGGGTGTAACCACTTCAGTCATAGTAAATTAAAGCATTTACATAGCTGTTGTGGCTCAACCCATCACAATCTTATAGGATAATTATAACAAGCCTAAGCGATGATCTCCTTGGACTAGGAAGGGAAAAACAATCACCCAGAGAGACAAACAATCATCCTCCTACTTGCTAACGGTGACCTCTGTTGGAAAGTACTTGCATTCGATTGGGTGAGGTTGTAAAGTAGGCCCAATTTGGTGAGGTACCAGAAAGTGTCCAATACCTTTGGTTCTGTACCCAGCACCTCTGTGCCCTAGAGGAAGGAGTCTCTGCCGGTGTCCTGACCAATCCCCCAAATAAAATTGGTCATTCACTTCATGGCTGTTTGTGGGGCATTGCTGTGTGCAAAACTGACTGGCTATAGTTTGCTCACAAAATACATAGTCACTACACTTTACAGTGTCCCCTGTGAAAAACATTGAGATGTCCTCCTGACATGAAAAACGCTGTACCAACTGTAAGGATTATTATTTTATCATGGGTCATTGCCTTCAGGAGAGAAAGGAATCTCACTGTAGTTATAACAAAAGAAACATGAAATAACTACTGGACCTACCATACCCAATCTAATCTGAATGAGATGGAGAATAATTTGTCATTTTTTCAAAATTCGCAAGATATTTGGCGTTGTTTATTGAATGAGTGGGCTGCTCGTAACGTTCGCATGAAAACAGCTTTGTCAGCAGCAACAGCATGTAGAGAAATGGACATTTTTCAGATTCCAGCCAAGAACACTGAACTTAGAAGGAGAATGCTGCTGCTTTCATAGTAGCTGAGTGACATTCAATTCTGCAGTCTGCTTTTATATAAAATACAGTACAAAAAGCAAATTTCCTTATCACCAGGCTTAATAAAATATAATAATAATCCTTGCATTTGATATAGCTATTGTCCTTTCACTTTGTTGAGA